ATAATCCAGCTGAAATTGAGTAAAAGTAGAACAAACACATTTTCAGATATACAAAGACTCAGAAAGTTCACTTCTCATGCCCCCTTTTTAAAGAAGTTATTTGAGTACATTCTAGAGTAACTTCCTCAAATACTTACTCATGAGGGTTAATCAAGATAAATAAACCAAGTTCACGAGGGAGTAAATCCAGAAAGAGGAAGGTATGAACCATGAGAAATACCGAAGCCCATGGGTATAGAACTAAACACAACAGGGTTACAGCTATGCAGCAACCCCAGAAAGCAATCAGTCAGATTGGAGCAGGAAAATTAAGTTCTACAACACGGTGGTTTATGAGCTATTATATATGAAGTTGGAAAATGAGCCTTGAGCATATGATAAAGGCTCAGAATTCAATTTTTAAAAGCAATTAGAAACTCGGTAGGGAGGAAATATAAGAAAGTCATTATTTAATATAAAGAAACCAGTCCATATTAGAACAGGAAGTCACTGAGATTCAAGAAAGGAATGAAATGAATACCAAGGAAAAAGCAAAGTAAAAAAGATGGAAGATATGAGAGCTATAATGAAGAAGCATGTGTCTCTTTTCCCAACAAGGAAGAACAAAAGCCATCGGAAACTTGAGAGAGAAAAACAAATATATAAAATGGCAGAGTACAGATTAAAACAAAGTATTATTTTACCAACGGGGTTTTTATTTTTTAAAAAGAATAATCTTTTTAGATAGATATTATAAGTCTTTGAAAATGAAATGGAAACATAACCATAATGTGCTATTTGGCTCTGCAAGTAAACTGTGTTTGCCTAATTACAGTAGTTCAAATACTGGGAGTTTAAGAAGGGGTTCAAATTTCGGAATAAACCTATAAAAAATTACAGAAGATTGTAGTTACCTATCATAGAACTATGGTTACATGTAAAATGTGATATATCAGTTGAGAAACTTTAAACGTAAAAATACACCTAACCGTGCCCCCGCAGATCTTGGTTTTTAATCTCGTTCTCCAATAGCAGGAGCCAGGGATCCTCAGAGAAAGGACTGATTCCAAGGCTGGGGCAGGAATATATCAGATAACCCTAGAGCTAAAACCCTGAGATCCTAATTCCAGAAAGAAAGGAGTACTCAAAAAAAAAAAAAATAGAAGGATGTCGAAGAGGAGATAAATGTCAGCGGATAAACCTGACAAACACTACCTTAGTCAGGTGACCCAGATTAACATCAACAGGGATGTTATGCTGATAACTCATCCTCTTGATATGATGTGTTGATAATGACATTTTACATCTGTGGTCTTCCTCTCAAAAAAAATACATAACTCTGGTCTAACCATGAGAAAAGCATCAAACAAATCCAAATTGAAGGACATTTTACAAAATACCGCACTGATGCTACTCAAAACTCTTAAGAGCATGAAAAACAAAGAAAGTTTGAGAAATTTTTATTGTCTTATGAAGCCTATAGAAACTTAACAATGAAATGTAATGTGATATCCTGGGTTGGGTCCTGGAACAGAATAAGAACATTAGATAAAAATCGAGGAAATATAAAGTATGGATTTTAGTTAATAATAACATATCGATATTGGTTCATAGTTGTGACAAATGTACAAATGATAATAGTAAGGAAATAAAAGGGGAAGAGAAGTGAAAGGAAGGATAGTGAAACTCTTCACCTCACATCTTGAGACATAGAAAGATACGATCTACAGTTAATGAAGCAACAAATAGAGGTTCAATTCTGTTACATGAAACTGCAGAGCTGACAGAGAACAGAAAAGAGTGCATACCTATATGGAGAAGAATGAGCAGACGGAATATACGGATACAAGTCAACAGAAGTATCTGTAGTTGATAAAAACAAAAATTGGTGTTATAAGAACTAAATACAGGAAAAGCTAAAAAGTAATTGTCTTAGAGGAGAAGGGCCAGAGGTGGGGAGAAAATGTTGTATACGCCCTTCTATGCCATTTTATTTCTTGACTATTACATTTATTACTTTGATTGAATTTTTCCAAATGCAATGAAAAAAAAAAAGGTCTTTAACCTGGTTAGTTTCCATCATAACAGATATGGAAATGGAACCCACCAAAAGTGATTGTCAAAGGACTGAAATCATCTATATAAAAATGTAAAAGAATCCCACATATCAGGGGATGCTGATAGAGATTAATTTCTCAGGGAGGACATAACCTACCAGTAAGAAAAAAATGTGGATTATAAACCATAAATATAAAGGGAAAGCTGTAAATGAACCCATATAACTCAACAGTGCTGATGACTGGGTCACATTTTAATGACACATTCTCTAAAGAATATCTATTTTCCTTTACTTTAATTGTTTTCTCAACAATATGCTTTCCGATATCTTCTGCTGGTTAATTCCTACTAATGCTCAGCCCAGACTTAAAGATTAAAAACTTTAATATAGTTTAATAAAAGCATAAATAAAGTTAATCATTAAAAAACAATCTATAGAATATAAAGCAATATTTATGACATAAAGAATTAATGTCCTTACTCTGTAAAAAGATTTTATAAATCAATAAGAAAAAGAAGAACACATTTATTCCTGGCTCTTAATCCACACAGTAGCCAGAGCAGTGTCTTTAAAGCCCAGATCTTGCTATGTCACTTGCCACTTCCCCACTGAAAGTTCTTTAATGGCTTCACATTGCTCTTAGAATAAAGTCCAAAACTCGACATGGCCTTCATGATCCGGTTCTTACCTACATCTCTAAACTTTTCTCTCACTGTCTCTCTCTATTTCCTGTCTCGACTGCAGCCAGCCTTGCCACCATTAAGTTTTGCACATGCTCATTGCTTTGCCACTGCCACCACCACCACCCCCACCATCACCGCTACCACCACCACCACCTTCACATGACTGGTATTCACTCTTTCTCCAGCAGCTTAAACAGCATTTCTCAAGCAAGTCTTCCATCATCAACTGCAGATTGGTTGAGACTTGCCATGTGCTCTCTATAACCCTCAAGGGAATGGATGAAATCACTTTTCTGAATCTTCAGATCTCAGAAATAGACCCTGAGAAGTGGTGACCCTTCCCAGGAACGTGGCCTCTGGAACCTTCTTATCTATAACAATCAGGGATGGTGGGGAAGCTCAGGAGAAAGTTCTGATGAGAGTTTCTCCTAAGCTATTGGTCCTTAACATTTTTTGAATAGACGAATTTGAAAATGTAATGAAATTTATGAGACTTCTATCCCAGAAGAAGATGCACATAAGCAAAACCTTTGTTACCATTTTCAATGTTTCACAGTTCCCCTAAAGTCCATCTATTCACCTCAGGTTAAGAACCCCAGCTACAGGCCTAGCAAAAATGTCATACACATAACGTTACAAACATACTGTTTCCCTGGTTTTGTTCATTTAATGAATATTTGTCAAGTATCGTATAGAGATTCTAGTAATAATATCACCTTATAAATGAAATTTGCTTCATGATTTAAAAGAAAAGAAATATTTTCACATAATTGTCTCATTTACTATTCATAAAAGCCCAGGTGAGGTAGGCATACATTGCTCTACCTATTTTATAGGTGACTAAGGAATTCCAGAGAATAGCCAAAAAGGAATTGAAACCCAGGGGTGAAATGTGTCCTTGAAACCCTATTAATATTGACTCCAATGGTTGGTGGTGATAGGACTTGTGTCTAGTGAGATAGCTGCCTACCAGGGTCATTATATGAAGATAACTTCTGAGGTCACATTCTCAGCCCCAAATTCCCAAGGCGGTCAGCCTCATGCTCTCCTAGTCCTGCTGGCAATGCCACCCTGAAAATTGGTGATCCCAGCAGCAGAATTTGTCTGGTGTTTAGAGGAGTAGCCAGAGCTCCCCATCCCTTTGCCCATAGAACACACTAACATTTTTTGAGTCCCTAATATATGCCAAGCATTATTCTAGGCTTTTTACATGAATTAACTCATTAAATCCTCAGAACAACACAGTGAAGTAGGTACTATTATTATCTCCACTTTGTAGACACTAAGAAGACGTTAAGAAACTTGTCCAAAGTTACAGAACTAATAATTTTCAGAGCCAAGATTTGAACCCCAGAGCCTGTGCTCTTAAACAACATCATTCTGCCTCTCTCAAGTCAATTATTCTTAACTTTTGGGGGTTCTATGTATCCTAGAGAGTGTAATTTAAGCTCTGGGCCCTCTCCCTAGGAAAATTAAGTTAAGCAGAATTTTGCAAAATATTTCAGAGACTTCAGGGACCGCTAAAGCCCATCATCTATCAATCTCAGGCGTGAAATCGCTATTTGTCTCATACATACTGGAGGGAACTGTCCAGGGAGAAAAGAGAAGCGGTGCCAGCGCAGCGGGACTTCGCCTCTGCAAAGGCGGAGGAGAGCTGAGCTATGGGTTGTGCCAGGGACACTCGTTCACTGAAAATCAGGAACCGTGAGCTCCCGGGACCGCAATGCCCTGAGAACGCAGCCGTGTCACTGGAGCCTCCGGAGACTAGTAGCTGAATGAGATACGCACAGCCCACAGACTAGACAGAAATTTTGTGTCCTGGAATCACAAGACAAGAGACTCAGAGCGGACAGGATCTCAGAACTCTGGCCTCGGGGGTTACGGACGGTGTCGCTGTCCTTGGTGCTGAAACGCTGCGGTCGTGGAGGGGAGCGGCTGCTGCGGGGAGCTGTCCAGTGCTGAACCTGGATCCGGCCCGGCACACGGAGCTCAGACCAGAGGCTGCCGCACCCGGAGGAGCCGAGACCGAGCTTCTGGGAGCGCTGACGCAGAACCCTGGGAGAGAGGGAAGCGACGAGCTCCAAGCCGGGCATGGACCTGCAGAGATTCGACTCCTACCAGGGGGGAGCTGGCCCTGACTTCAATGAGCACGTCCTGCATAAGGTAAGATCTCCTCTAGACCCCCACCCCCATCCCGACGCTGGGAGAAGGCGCCGTCACCAGGTGTTCTCTCAGTTCCCCTGACTTGGCTTTGGGGCTTGAAAAGAAACGAGCCCATATCTGTGAGCCTGGGGAACTCTTTCTGTTTGATCCTGTTTATTGCTCAAAACAGACGCGTGAACTGGGGGAGAGTCCGCCTCCAGAGTATCAGATTGTCAGGAGCTTCGTTCATTCATTTAAATCACCTGTGTCTCTTTCTCATTCACTCCCTTCTGCCTCTTACCCATTTGAACTCCTGCGTAACCCTTGTGGGAAGCTGTGTTTGTCCTCTCATTCAAGCTCCAATCCCATTAGGTCTGGTAGTTGTGGTCAAAGACCTGAATTCCTGGTCAAATTGGCTAAAATTAGACATAGAGATGATCCGCAGCAGAAATAAACTGTTGTTTTCAAATGATACTCCCTCATGACTCCAGAAAGCTGCCCTCCAGCCTTGATTCGCTCACAGCCTCCTAAAAGCGTTTGCTTATTTCTCACTCATTCGTTGCTTCCCTCATTCAAGTTTCTTATGCAACTCAATCCTCAGTAATGTAGGTCTCCTCTTGAAGTGATTGTTGGGGAAAGTAGCAGCCTGGCTCTAAGCATCACTTTGTAATCCAAAATCTATTGCTTTGAAAGAAACAGAACCTTATATTTGCCATAAGAAGTCATTATTGTTCCTCAACCCTTTCTCTGCTGTCCTTATTTGGCCCTTACATTTTCTACTTTGCTAATGTCAGTTTATTTGTTAGTCCCCTGAGAGGCTGTGCATTGTCTTATACTTGGGGGGGGGGGTGTTTAGACCAAAATATCGCTCTGAAAATTCTGTAAATACGTGCTTTGAAATAATCTGATTCACCCTCTTCCCTTGTTACCTGGTTTATATTTGAGGAAACTGAAGTTCAAAGAGGCAAAGTGACTTGTCCAAGAAAACAAGGTAGAAAACAGCAGAGCTGGTACTAAAAGCCAAGAATTACAACTCCAAGTCTAACATTCTTTTTTCTATACAAGTGTGGTCCGTACATCAGCAGCATTAGCATTACCTGGGCTTGTTAGAAATGTGAAATCTCAGGCTCCACCCCAGATCTGCTGCTTCTGAATATCTGTAATTTACCAAGATCCCTAGGAAATAAATATGCACATTAAAGTTTCAGATGCACAGCCCTGTGTCATGCTGGCTATTTCTGACCCAAATGAAAGAAGATCAACTACTGGAGGAAGCAGGTCTGCACTTTTGAAGGGTCCATGTGACTTCTCCAGGTCTCTGAACCCCTAGATGATAGCAGATGAGAAAAATTTATAACAACTGCCCCAGTCTGGAAGTTTTAAAACCATTACAGTTTGAAGTTAACTAGTATTAGATCTGTGTGTTTTGAGGTTGTGAATCAAGCAAAGGAACATAATTACAAATCAATTACAAAAGCATTCCGGCAACTCGATATATGGGCCTCTCCAGTTTAAACCATCTTATAAAGATAAGATGAATTATTTAAAACTTGGAGGTCAAAGTTTTCAAATTATTAATCAAGTGTGGTCATTCCTACCTCAATTATTGACACATGAAATGTAGGATATAGCCCATGAGAACTTTCACTTCCTTTGGGTTTATTGATCACCAAATTGGGAGAGAGCCTCTTCCTATAAGTTCTACTATATTTGAAGACAAATATCTACTTACTGCTAATAAATTATCAGTTTTTCAGCTTGGTTGTGAGCATGTTGAGAGCAGAAGGTAACTTAAGCCTTTTGTGGTACCCAGCGGAGTGACATGTGTGTGTAGAAAGTTTTCCTTTCCATATAATGCTGATCACTTCCTCCTAATGTTATTTTATTATTGTTCATGACTTTTTATTGTGATCCACTTAAAAATTTATTTGTAAAGAGGCAGAGTATCAACATATTTGTCTTATTTTTAAGTTTGCTGTATAGTAGAGACCAAGGAATTCC